CCTCATCATTTCCAACCTGGGGATTTAAAAAGAAAAAAAAATTAACAAAAACAATTTATCTAGTCCATACTTATTAAGTGGCCTGCTATATTCTAGTCACTGAACCCTCTTTACAAGTAATTCTGGGGGGTGCAAGAGCAAAGTTTTCACATTTGTTCTGGAATAAGTCATGGGGAAGAGCCATTAGATACATTTTTATTGGCTTCACTTTCAAGAGGGCCTCCCTGAGCTAGCAAATGCAGTACTGGTAGTGGTGGAAAGGGCAAGCCATGGGGGAGCGTTGCTAGGTGAGAAATTGAAAAGCAACAGCACCCATTTTACTTCCATTTTCTCCAGAGCTCTGGCGCCTCAAGTTGAGACCTATCCTTCTTTACTGCAAGGTATTCAAACTGGTTTTCTCTCTCCATGTTTAAGATTCAACAGTTTCTTCTCAAAGCTTTTCCATGTGTAGCTTGTGGTTCATTGTGACAAGAGGGTCTCTCCTTGATTTAAAAAAAAAAAAAAAGCACATCCATTATTGACTGGCATTCCACGTACCAAGGTTGTCTTACTAGTAACTTCTCAGGAGTGTCACTTAAAGTTTCTAAACATAGCCTGTTAATAGAGTCTCACAAATATTCGAATGTGGTGCTCTACTAAGAAATCTGTCACACAGTCCTTAGCAGCACTGGCCAGTTCTCTGTGTATGTGCTCAGAGTTTGAGGGAAGGATGTTTTTTGGGCAGCCCAAAGTGTCTCAAGCTGGTTGTGGATTTCAGTTACTGCTCTGCTTGTATTAATTGGAAGTTTGTGGAATTACAGTTATGTTTAAATTGGGTGGAAATTTTGTTCTTATGTAATGGTTGCATAGTTGCCACTTTAGTTACTGCTTAGCTTCTTTTGCGTTGTCTATTGCCATGGGTCTCCCCCCCGCTAAGAAGTGGTACTGAATGGAGAAGTTGCATGAAGTTGTGGTTGAGCACAGAATGTAATCTGGAGGACTCTGCTGCTTGTTAGCTTTGTAATCTTTGGAAAGTTATTTAACCTACATAGTGCTATGAAGTAGAGGGAGTGGTATTACCCCATAGGCTTCAGGATGAAATAAAATAAATCATCTCAATGCTTAGTATGGTACATGGCACATCATTGGTGAAAAAGTGATTGATGGTAGCTTGTTACTTTTATATTTGACTGCTGTTTAAAAAAATTGAGAGCCCATTGCTCTATAAGTTGGCTTTGGATAGTTCTTTCTCTTCCTTTCCCTCAGCCCCTTAATTAGTTTTAGTTTGTTAAATTAAAATACTAATAAGCCCAGTGTTACTGGATTCTTCAAACTGCATTCCCATCCTTAACCTTTTATCCCAGAGGATTAAGTGTGAAGAGAATTAACAAGGAGGATAATAATGATAGCAGTGAAATTTCATCTTTTTTTTTAAGATTTTATTTATTTATTCATGAGAGACACACAGAGAGAGGCAGAGACAAAGGCAGAGGGAGAAGGAAGCTCCCTATGGGGAGCCTGATGCGGGACTCTATCCCAGGATCTCAGGATCATGACCTGAGCCAAAGGTAGATGCTCAGCCACAAAGCCACCCAGGTGCCCCTGAATTATAGAATACTCAGTGGGACATGGAACTGGTGTTCTCTGCTTTGTGTTAAATGTTTTGTATCTATTATCTCATTTAATTTTCACAATACCTCTAAGGTAGGGAATGTTAATAGCCCCATTTTACAGGTGGGTATGATTAGAGTTTAGAAATGGTAAGTGACAGGAGAAAGCACATTAACTGAATTAGTCTTCATAGGAGCCATAATTCAGGAACAGTTTAGTGACTCACGTCCCCTTGAATTAATCTAGGACAGTTATGTTCCATCCTTTCAAGACAAAGTCTCTTGAGAAGCTTACTTGAAGGCTTATAAACCTGAGATGATTCTGCTAATCAATCATAAGACAGAAGCCATGGCCAAAGAGACCTTTTATTTCAGGAAGTTGTCCTCACCTCTGGTGGGCAACCATGAGATCTATTGATGAAGGTTTCCCCTATAACTAATATAACAATGTATGTTAGTTATACTTGAATAATAATAGTAAAAAAAGATTTCCCCAGAATAGACTGACCATTTCTAAAGGGTGAATTGCATGCCCTTGGCTTCTGCCAGTATGGGAAGTATTTAGGAACCTATAGACTACTGGTTTCATTTGGTAGTTATGTACATTTGCTACTACTTGGAAAAGTAAGAGTGTTACAACTTGCTTCTTGTAGAGGCAAGATAGAATAGGAAGTCCCTCACCAGCTCTCTGTCCTTGGACAAACTATAAAACCTCTCTGGGCCTCAGGTTTCACATCTATAAAATGGGAACAGTGCTAGTACTTAGGCCATAAGGTGGTTAAAAGGATTCAATGATATGTGTGATACTTGGTGAGTTAAACAAAGCCTTTCCCACTTAGTGCTGTTACGTTGCTGCCATCTGGCCTGTGTGGTGGTGAGGCTGTTCCCCCACACGGGGCCTTCCTTGTTGGGCCATGTAGTCACACAGTTCTGGCAGGCCAGGTTTGTTAGCTTTATTTCAAAACTCATTCTCTTTGGCTCATTTACCAAACTAGACAGAGATTAATGGCCTGGCCTCAGAGGATCGGGCAGTACATGTTTCTGGCACCTTCGGCTCATTGATCACACCTCTCTAATTTGGGGAATGCTTGGGTGTTGCAGGCAACGGCTTCCTGAGACCCAGGAAACCTCGAAGGAAAGTACTTTGGTGCAAATTCTCCTCCTAATTAAGAGGAGTCTTGCATTTTGTTCTTCTTTCTGGATTTTGCCATTTATAAATAGGAGCAAACTTTTCTCATAATATTTAAATATAATGAACAGAATAAATTGATCCAGGGATGCTGAAAAAAAAAATGCTTGACAAGGTAGAGCCTCTTCCCTTGCACTTGCTTTCCCAGCTTTCCAAGGTTGGTGAACACCATTCCCCATGGATTGCTGGTTGTAGCAATGATGAGGCTCCCTGTTTCACTCACAGATCTAACAACATCCTGCAGGATCACATTGCTGCTGCATCTTCATCTCCCTCCCTTCTCTGCTGTGCACTGATTGATTGCCGATTGCCCTGGTCTTCCTCCCTCCAAGAGGCGTTGTGCCAGGATCACAGTCTTTTGACCCCTCATCTCTAGAACTTTTAAGCATAAAAACTGAGCCATTGTCTCAAGTACAGAAACCTCATCCTCCCAACTTTAATCCTTATCCTCCTGACTTTCACATAGTGGTTGTGCCTCTTTAGTTTTCTTTAGGAAATTAATAATAATAAAGTGGAGCGACTTGTCTTACTTAGAGTTTGATCATTCAAAACCTTCTTGGCCAACTTCTTCAATTCATAGATGAGACAGTAGTGGCCCAAATAGGGTGAGAGCCTTACCCAACAACACAAGGCAACTGAGGTCCAAGGTGGAAAGCTCTTGAGCAGCCATTCCCACCCACACTTGCTAGCAGGTGGAAGTCCTTCTTAGGGTTTCATGACTCTCTTTTTAGAGATTCTCGTCTCACTACCTCTAGGGGTTAAATAAGTGGTTGTCAGGTAAGATGAGCCATGAGAATTGCTTGGAACAGGTAGGTAGGTAGGTGGGTAGGTAGGTAGGTAGATACATACATACATACATACATACATACATACATACATACGTACGATGACCAGCTTTACCCTATGCCTTCTTGTATATATAGAATCATAATCACCAAAGAAAGATTTGGGAGACTGTGATTTTTTTCCCCTTATAGCACAGGTTTTATCTTACTTACCAATGTCACCATATCAGGGATTTGGCAAACTGCCCTACAGGCCAAATCCAGCATACCATGAGCTTTTTGTATAGCCCTGGAGCTAAATACGCCATTTATAGATGAACATTTGTAATTGATTTAATAGGAAATACTAACTTTGAACCCTAATTAAGCCAAAGATTATCCTCCTTATATAAGACCAGCAGACAAATAAAACCCCAATTCTTTTGATTGGTGGATCTGCATTTCAAAAAATTATACTCCTTGGAAGAAGTATTCCACATGACTCATGGCCACTCTTGGTTGAGAATCACTTAACCTCTAGATGTATTGAGCCAAGCATCTCTGAAAAGAGAGCCTTGAGACTCTAAGAGATTTTTACCTGTGAGGAGAATTATACCTGTATTTTTAAAAATTGCTGTGTTTTAAATGTTGTCAACCAAAAATTTGTGGAAATTAGTTTCCTCTCTTGTTAAACAGGTATCTACATAATATTAATTTTGTCTCTTGTCCCACAAAGCCTAAAATATTTACTCTCTGGCTCTTCATAAAAGAAGCTTGCTGATTCTTGGAATATGTCATTGTGTGTTTTATATTGGGGTATTTCCCTTTTATGATTTTTTTTCCTTTTATGATTTTTATAAATCGTTTATGTTGTAAAAGTAATATCTTTTCCTTACAACGTTTAAATTTTAAAAGCATATAATAAAGTAAAATGTGATTGGTTCCATTCCTCAGTGTTAACACATTAACAGTTTATAATAATGTGTCTTTGTCCTGACTTTACCATTTACTAGCTATGAGACCTTAGGTAACCTCTCTAAGCCTTGAATTCTCCATCTGTAATACAATGACGAATTTCTACCCAATAGAATTGTTGTGTAGGTAATTTGAGATCATTCATGTGAATTGTTCATCACATTGCTTGTTGCACAGTAAATGCTTAATGATTGTAATTATTTAAAACTTTTATTTTTTAATTTTTATATATACATAATTTTTTTAAAAGAATATGATTTTTTTACAGTAAAGTTTTACAGGTGATTATGATGTACACACACTTGAGAATACCTGAAGTAAATACTGGACAGTAGATAATTTTAGAGAGGATTCATATTTGGGGGCCAGAAATGGCCTTCCATCTAAATGGCACAAATTAGGGAAAGGGGGCTGGTAGTGATTTTATTCATTGAACCTCTAGAGTCGTATAAAATTCACACAATGTTTATTTCTGTTTTCCAGGTGTACAATTCGAACAAAGACAGTCAGAGCGAAGGGAGTAAGTATGTCTCTTGGATAATTTTCTACAGCTGGGGTTGGGATTGAGCCTTAAAAGTTGCTACTCTGAGGAAGAACCACCAGGGGGTGCTGTGGGCATGTTGGGTCTGCCCCATTTCCCTGGTGTAGTCCCATGCTTCCATCCTGACTTACCATGTCAGTGACTCCAGGACATTTAGGGAGCCTGACTGGCAAGACTGTAATGACACCTTGCATTACATAACCCTTCACACTTGACAAAGCATTTTCATGTACATTATCTCAGTTAATCCTGGTTCTTGAGAATGTAGCTCCAATCGCCACTTAAAAGCCACTTAATTGAATAATACGCAGCTTCCAAAGAACCTTATCTTAGGGGAAAGCCAGAATTGCCCCTACACAGTCTTGTTCAAAGGCCTGGATAGGCAACAGCTATCTTAGTAATCACTTAGTAACTCTGTGTTCTTTGTTACCTTTTCGGAGAGGAAAAAGTGGAGATGATGAACTCTGTAATAGTCTTCTTCTTTGATGGGAATGACCCTGGCCAGCCTCTGTAGAATATCCAGCACATTTCCCCTGCTGCTGGCTCTGAGCACTCTGGTTAATCATAATTTCCAAGGGCACCTGTAACCTTGTAAAGATGATAGGATAAAAATGAAAAGCTACGGCTAGAGTGTTAGGGCTGATGATGTCCTTGGTGGATAGGAGTACGAACCAGTTCCTTCCAGATTGCTTACATGAGTGCGTAGGAAGTCCTGTCCCCTTGCCTCAGATTTGCTTTGTAAAATCCACTTGGAGAAACATTCACAGATAGCCGTACTATGAATTCCAATAATGTAAAAAAAAAAAAAATCAGTAAATCAGTGCTTCTGCATGTGGACAAGAGGATGAGGTATTTGTGTGTGTGTGAAATCCATTAAAGGACAAAGATTTTCCTTTCATCCTTTCCAAAATACAGATTTTGACCAGGAGTTTTATATAAAATATTAAGTAATTTGGAATAGTTGTTATTGGTAGGTTAAGAGGCCTTTGGGAGAGGGGAAAAAGTTTTTTCTTTCTTCTTTTTCCTTCAAGAATTGAATAAGGGAAAATTTTTTCAGATAAACATTCAAGAAACAAGTGCTCCTCAGGAGCCCCTCCTTGCCCCACCACCCATATCCTCAGGTAGGATTGTTTTAGTGATCTGGAATCAAGTCTGGCTAACTGGTTCTAAAGTAACAATAGCAGAAAACACAGTAATAAAAAATGAAGGAATATGGAAGGCTGTCAAGTAACTCACAGTAAAGGTAGGAAGAGCCAAAGAAACAGAATTGAAAACACACCAGCTCGGGAGCTCCAGGAGCCAATAAGAAAGAGTCTTCTGAATAATATTTGCAGGATCATAAAGCTCTAAACTGTTTTTTAGTACTCGCCTCACTCTTCTGAAGATTAAGATTCCCAGGAAGATAACAAGTTGGTCTAGCTTAGGCTGACGCAGGGGTAAACAACACAGTCCCTGACAGTTTTAAGAGTATTGCATAAAATGGGAGCAGGGTAGTTTGCCAGTGGGAAATCAGGCAAACTACCCAGGCATCAGAACAAGAGAAGATAGATGCCTAAGCAGACTTTAATAACATGCTCATGCCATGCCCCAACCTGGGACACATTCTTTTATAATAAAGGACCCAGGAACTCTGGAGGATGAGATGCATATGAGTGGAGACCACCAACTAAAAGTTTGCTTGTGATTTGTGATAAGCCTTGTCCTCTCTGCTTGAGATTTGAAAGATGATCCTGATTTTATGGGTAGGCATCCCTCTTGTTACACCATTCTGTAGGCTCATTTGGGGAATATGTATTGGGAGCCAATATCCTTTGACCCAGTGATTTGTCCTAAAGAAATAGACTAGAGTACAAAAATCTTTGTGCGAGAAAGAAGTACACTAGAGCATTGGTAATAATGACAAAGACAGGGAAACAATCAGATATGTCATAGAAAGTTGATTAAACATATCAAGATATGGGGCACCTGGTGGCTTAGTCAGTTGAGGGTCCAACTCACGATTTTGGATCAGGTCATGATCTCAGGATTCTGGAATTGAGCCTTGCTTTGGTCTCTGCACTCTTACTCTGCTTGAGATTCTCTGTCTTCTGTTCCTCCCCACTTGAGTTCTCTCTCTCTCTCTCTCTCTCTCTCTCTGTCTTTCTCTCTCTTTCTCTCTCTCAAATAAATAAGTAAAATCTTTAAAAATACCAAGGTACTCTGTAGTCTTTAGTAAGAACAAGAGCGATCTAGGTATTTGTGGAAATGGTGCCCACAGTATATTGTTAATTGTGATTAAAAAAAAAAATCAGGTTACCCAGAGCAATGTTCTTGGTAAAATATTTAACTTCTCTAGATATATTGATAGAAAAACGTCTGGAAAGACCTTTATCATGAAATTGTAATGTACATGGAGGGTAGATTATTGAGAGGCGCTGACCTTCATGCTTTGCATTGTCTGCATTGAGTATGTATTTTAAAATCATAGTTGTTAATAGATAGCATTTATCCACTACTTAATATTTTTTAAGGATGTTTTGTGGGTATGGGCTTAGTTAATAAATACTATGAGAATAGGTACTTTTGACCTACTTTGTATATTAGGAAATTGAGGTTAGTAAACTCAGGTGGCACAATTTAATCTGAATTCTAACTCCAAAGGTTCTACTGTTAACCCCAAGGATATTCTATCTCTTGAAGAAAAGAGCAATACAAAAAGTTCCATTTTGGAGAACACAGACCCTTGCAACAGTTCGCTTTTGGCATCCCATTATTCACAGAGTACAGAGAACCGGCTGCCTGGAGTGTCTAATGATTTTTCAATTGCTTACCCTTTGATTTAGCAAGCCCGAGAGGGGGAAAAAAATGGTTTAAAACATACTGGCCATTTTTCCAGGGGTAGTTTGGATAGAAACTTTTTTTTTTTTTTTTTTAAGTATTATTCCAAAAGATGTTCTATTTCCAAGCTGGCAAAACCAGAGTAGGGTTTTGGATTGATATGTTCTCACCTCCTCTAGCATTGGAACCCCATTTTCACATTGTATAATTTAGCTCCCTCTCCTTTCTGACGTGGTTGTACTTTCCGTGTCTGTGTTCATTTTCACACCACACCCACTCACAGGGCTCATGTGCCACCACAGGTGGCACTGTTGTCCAGGTTCGGATTGTTCTGCAACCCTCTGTGCCACAGTCGAAACTGTTTTTGAGAGAAGTCAATCTGATAGGAATTTCAGAATGTGGCACTGCTCTTTTTGCCTCGAATATCCAAATTTAAATGTCTAGCATTTTCCTTTCTAGAAAATCTTTTCATGGGAGTTGAATGCCACCATTTTATCCCAGAACCAGAACATTTTGAAGGGGCAGGTAGCAAAAGGAAATTCCTTTGGGGAAACTTCTGAATTTGTTGCTTTGATCTTGAAGTTCCTCTCAGGGCATACAGTGCCTGTGGGGTATCAGACAGGGCATAAATAATGCCTGTCAGCTGCTGGTATTTTCCGAATGGCCCAGTTGTCAGGGAGAGGATGGCAGCAGATAAACAAACGCCAGTTTCTTTGCAGAGCCTTTTTCCTGTCTTCTTCTCTAGACTCTGTTCGAATCTCATGTGTAGAGGGGTTGAATTAATCATACTACGTAATTTTGTGGCATGGGATCATTACAGGCTCCTCCATTCATTGATTCTTTTTCTTTTTTTTCTCTTTCTCTTTCTCTTTCTCTTTCCCTTCCTTCCTTCCTTTTTCTTTTTCTTTTTCTTTTTCTTTTTCTTTTTCTTTCTTCATTTTTAATTTTTTTTCGAGCTCCTGTTTCTTTGCTCCTCTGTAGACTACTATTCTGACGTATACTTTAAAGTGTATTTTTGAGCAATGTTGTATCTTTTTATCTACCTATATTTTTAAATTATATAAATGATATGTCTTGTTCTCTTTCTTTGTTCCCTCAAAATTGTGTTGGGAGCCATCTCTATTCCTCTGTCAGCTTTTAGACTATGGCTTCCATCTGCTGCACCCTCCATGGTGTATATAACACGGTGTATCTATTTTTACAGAGCTACGTACTCCTTCTCCTCATGCCTCTAATTCCTCCTGAGCACTAACAGCACCACAGTGAACATCTTTGCACAGCTTGTATATCTCCCTGTGTGAGAATTTCTTTGGGATATATCCATGAGGAGAATCATTGGCCAGCTAGAGGATGTGCATCTATCTACTTAGTTTGAGGGAGTAGTTCTCCAGAAAGGTCCAGCCACAGTCCCATTGGCCCTACACAAGGATTTCTTCATTTCTGGCAACTTTTCCATTATTCAGCCTTCTAATTTCTTGTCAATCATAGAAATATGATAGCTCATTATTGCTTTGATTTACATCTCTCTGATAATTAGTATGTTTAGGCATCTCTTCCTATGTTTGCATACTGGGTTTCCCCTTCTGTTGATAGCCTTTTCATGTCCTTTGCTCATAGTTCTTTCATTTGCCACCTTTTTCCTGTTGATTTGTCAAGTTTCTTCTATATTTTAAGTATCCATCCCTTGTTAGCTGTAGACCTTTTAAATACATTTTCCCATCTTGCCATCTATTAATATTATGTGTGATATTCTTATTGAATATAAAGCCCTCTTATGTATTGAAGTAAATTTTTAATTTTTAAAAAAATTTTAAAAAAATTTATTTATGATAGTCACACACACACAGAGAGGCAGAGACACAGGCAGAGGGAGAAGCAGGCTCCATGCACTAGGAGCCCGACATGGGATTCGATCTCGGGTCTCCAGGATCGTGCCCTGGGCCAAAGGCAGGCGCTAAACTGCTGCGCCACCCAGGGATCCCTGAAGTAAATTTTTTAAAAAAAATTTCACCTTCTGGTTTATGATTTTCAAGTTGTGTTTTAAAGAAGGCCTTTCTGACCCACATCAGAAAGATGTGTACTTACATTTTGTTTTATTAGCTTCATGATTCTGTCTTTCATTCTAATCTAACTGATTACCTTCCATCATGTTTGGTATTTCT